AGCAATAAGTTGTAAAAATTTAGTACATTGTATATAAATTTTATAGCAGTTCACATAAATAAAGGCAGGATCGCTTAGGGTACAGACATTTATCACCTGATTTTTTAGGGTAGGGGGGGGTCAAAGACAAAATCAGGTGCTATATATATTGATTAGATCAGCCAATCAAATTATTCGATACGTATATACTATATTTGATATGTACTACCTGATATGCAAATAAGTAAAATAAGTACGTACAATATATATTATAGAGTATAAAAAATCTATACAATATCCGATATATTTATTTAATATAAGCGTTTTATATATTTCTAAACTATATATTACATTTAAAAAATGTTTTTTTTTTAGTTTTTGTATTTCCACGATCTAATCAATTCATTCGGCTTCTTTTGATAACTCAATATATGCGTTGTAACTAAACTCAATACAGAGAGTCTTTATAATTCGAGATTTTATTCTGAATGATTCGTACACCGATTAAATCTAAGGGGTTTGGGTTACTGATTTTAAGCTGCAATTTTGGAAGATATTTAACCAGATTAACCTTTAAACTGTTACTTACCAATCCTAAATTCTTATTCTGAGACATAACCAAGGGCAACGGCTATAGCAATAGACTCGTGATCGGATATTCCAACTGAAGATGAAGGCATGGAAAAGCTTTCGGCAGTACTTGAATTTGATTCAAGTTGAGGTTTGCCTGATCGTCTACCCCTGGCGCTAGGATGAGCAAATCTTCGGTGTTTGGTAAGAAAAGAAAGTGTAGGAAAGTATTTTTTGCAAAAAGTACAACATCGTCTAGCATAGTTTTCTTCAGAAAAAGATGGGAGGTGTGCGTCATATGTTGGGATTTTAATGGAATCAAAGTATTCTAAAGTATGAATTGCATTTAAATAGTGGCCATCCTTTCCTTTAATTAATGGAGGCAAAAACCCATTGTTTATGCTTAATAATGCAGCAGCTTCCTCAGCCCGTTTAGGGGAACAACATGATAGATCATTACATTTTCGAATATCCAAGGAGTATTGACAGATGTTACAATGATTTTCGATCCAAGACCAGGGCACAGATAAGTCATCATTATTTTCATTGTTCTCTTCATCATCATCTTCACTATCAACATATTCAGCAAAAACTGGCTTTCCATAAATAGGGTCTCTTCGCCACAATTCAGCGAGCGTCTGGCCGGCGTGACGAAAATTTTGAAGTCCAAGTTCATAATTCTGCACATTTCCTTGAGAATCCAAGTGGTTTCCAAAATGATTAATTGGTAAAGTAATCCCAGCGACTTTTCTAGATAGTGATGACATACTCCTTTCGACTGGGTTATATGCCGACTGGCCCGGTGCGTGAGTACGAATTGTTAAATAATCTAAGTTTAGATGGCGAAATAACTTACAATATTGAATGATATTTTTGAAATGCCGCGGATTTTCATCCGGTCCACCATCAACCAAAAGAACCCACAATGGCTTGACCTCATCTTTATACCTGAAATAGAAATGGTAAAAAAAAAAAAAAAAAAAAAAAAAAACGGTTAAAACGTTCTTTTGAACAGGTGATGATTAAAGTCAAATTGCTAAATCTGAATTTAAATACAGTATATCAATTTAACACTCTAACCTGAAAATCTTATCGAACCTTTCATTAGCAACCAACGACAAAATGTCTGTCATGTGCGTAGCAGAAGAAGAACCAAGGTGCCACTGTGCTCTAATAAAAATTGCAATTTGACCAACTCTTAATGATTCATCAGTTTCCTTTGGATTGATTAACAAATAGACAGATGGTACTAATTTTTGTGAAGATCCGATTGGAAAATCATGATCAGGTACTGACACAGGTTCAAGAACTGTTTGCATTGTCTCGAAATGTCTTCCTACGGCAGGAACACCAACAGATACCTTTGCTTTGTCGTCTTGCGACAGTATAACGGATTGGTCAGCAAAGACAGAGACGAAGTTTCTGGCATTTTTTACTGATGCCAAACAATAGTGCCCATCAATATGATCTTTTTTTTCATCCCTGCTAACTCCCGCAATTCCAACTAAAGCTGGATGATGGTGAGCTCGTGCTGAAAGGTTACGATTGTTTCGGGGCAAAATATAATTTCGTGTAGTTGTACGTGACAAATACTCATTGTATTTTTCCTCTAATGAGCTGCGAAGGTGATTAATCGTTCTGACTTTAATGATTTCACGCCGCCTTTGAGCATCAGCCTCTCCAAATTCAATACAAGAGTGTATGTGGTCGTGTAGATCGGGGTATTCGAAAAGTAAGGGGGGACGACCGGGAGAATCATACCTTACAACTAATTGCTCTTCCTCAAGCAGTTTTTTTTTTTTTTCTTGCGATTTTCTTTGACTTGCCGCGTGTCTTTTTAAATTTTCTAACCGAACATCTTGACTTTTAATACTTTTTTGTATATCAGAAACCTGAGAAGAAAAACTTCTATAATATTCAGGATTAGTAGTAATTCTTGTCATAGCTTGTAATTCGACCAATTCTTTTTCTAACTCTTTTTTTTTAGCAAACGCTTCTTTTTGCGCTACGGCATTATAAGAGATTGGTTCATCAGATTTTGGAGGTTCAAGTGGTAACGACGATGACGATGACGATGATGGCAGAGATTGTTTATTTGGAACGTGCGTTGTACATCCTCGCAACTGTACTGGGGTATTTAGATAATTAAATATTTTATCTTCGATTTCTTCTTGAGAAAGTTTTTTAACTAAATTCCATTCGTGGTTGCATTCTTCACATAAAATTTTTTTATCAGGAGATGGAGAACCCAACGAAGCCATTTTATAATAGGCAAATGCGTTAGTAAATTTATGAAAAGTAGTTTGAGGACTTTTATAAATATACTTTTTATCAAATTTTGGAGTGGAAAGAAATGTTTGCATTTTTAATGTAGGTGCTTGTAAGGTAATTTAATGCTTAACAAACAAAAAGGTCTCTACAATTTCGAAAATATAAGATAACAAGTGGGAGATTTAATCATACTATGGTAAGCATTTTTATTTATTCTTTTTTTTTCATTACATTTACACTAATGAATCACGTTTCTCTTTAACATTAATCGCATATATTATTATCATTTATGGAGCTCTGACTTACTATTTCCTTTAAGTATAATTGTTTTTTTTTTTAGTATTATTTTATTTCGCCCAAGTAGTTTTCTTTGATTCTTATACTTGGTACTATACTAATAATATAACACCCGTCCCTGTGCTTGGCACTGTGTTTCAACGGTACCATGGCAACATTTACAGAATTCTACTTTTAATTACCAAGAAATCTTATGCCAAAACGGAAAGATCCAGGATTGCTTAGTCTTTTCCGATTTAAGTTACTTTAAATAATAGCATTAAATGATCACATTGTTTTGAATTATATATTAGGGTCAATTGATTTTTTTTTCTCGATCGTGGACTTGAATTATGATTAATCCTGTGCCAGACTACTATCACTATGGACTGTATACAATATTAATTTAAGTACACGTCAATCTGGTTATATCGACATTTTTGAGACATTAGTAAATTTTTTAAAAAAATGTCGGTATAGCATAATGTCGTTATATCCAGATGTCGGTGTTGTATAAATGTTATAACGTTTGGCTTTTTTCTATTATAAATTGCTATTTTTTTATTTCTACTTTAGATTTGAAATTAAAATATGATTCTTGACTTTAAATGCAGATTAATAATTTCATGACGAATAAGATATATGTGTGATATGACTTAAAAATGCATATGAATGCATTTAAATGCATGCACACGAATACATATACGTATGAATGCGTAATAGTTCACTTCTACTTAAATGCAAGTATACAATACGTAGTAGATTATATCGTGAAAAAAAGTAAGCTTGCTTTGTATTTATAATACGTAGGCATTTAGCCATTTGAAAATACTTTTTATTAATAAAAATCTCGTGGTGGGTTTACTTTTGAAGAGGTTCTCTTATATAATATAGTAGTTAAAATTTAGAAATTGTTTGGTTTTAGATTTAAAAAAAATTTTTTTATTAAATAAGTTAATTCCGAATATTCAGTTGTTTCGAATTCATCTAAACAAAGGATAAATTAGTTATTGATATTACTGATACGTATTACGGAAATTTGAAAAAGGTCTATAAACCTTGTTATGGAACTACTTACAACCATATATTCGCCCAGATATTGCAGTACTATTTGAGTATAAATTTCTTCAAATTAGATGGTATTTAGTGAGATAGAACCGTACACAAAATAATGTTAAAAAAATTGATACGTACTCGGGTTAAATTGTTTTGTAGTTTATCTATAAAACAAGATATATTAATTTATGCGCAAGGTGCTAAGCGAAGTCATGCATAGAATTTTATAGTTAAAATTAGCCAATCAGATTTATGTCAGGTGGGGGGGAGGGGGGTAGGCCTCTTATTAGCCGTAAATCACCTGATAAATGTCTGTACCCTTATAACTTTTTCTAATGTCTCAATAGCATCCATTATAGTTATTGGGGGTAGCAGTAGTTTTTTATTATTACTATTGTTATCAGTTTCATTATCATGAAATTCATTTATTATTATTTTGATAATATCTTCATCTATTAGTATATCCTCTGTTGTGGCTAACTAGTCAATCATTTTAGCATATTCTTTGATATTATCTAATAATTCTTGAACTGTTGGGTTAGTTTTAGTTAAAAGGTCTTCAAGTAGCATAGTAGTATTATCAACATTAGTAGTTTCATCCTAAAATTTGTTATTTAATTCACTTTCATCTGGTTTGCTTTTTTAAATAGTATTTTTACTAACTTCCTCCTAGACATTAGAAATAAAATCAATAGCTTGTTTTAAAGAAAGTTTTTTATATTATATAAACTGTTAGAAAATAACAATGTTTTTTTTGTTTTTTTTTTAATACTAAATTCTTATCTCTGATCCTTATTTTTTTCAAATTAATCAATTAAATAACAACAGTATAAGCTCTTATATTTTGATTTGAAATATTTAATTATATTAGCATTTATTGGCTAAAAATAGACTATCATGTTTGGAAAAAAAATGGAGTTTGATATTTGTAAAATAAAAATTTTTTGAAGTTTATCTTGGTTGGCTTGAACAGATAAAATTGAATCTTTGAGCTCTTCATAATCTTTTTTGAGACCTTTCTTCTAAGGCTCTTGTTGATTTTTATTTTCTTCTGATGATAATTCTTTAGTATTATTATTATCATATTCTTTAGCATTATTTATTTCTAGAGTAATATGAGAAGCTGCATTGTCAATGAGAAGAAGGATCTTCTTATCTTGAATACAAAAACCTTTGTCAATAAATTTTAACCATCCTTCTTAAATATCATTTTTTATCTATGCTTTTTTGTTATTTTGGTAAGTTACTAGTAGCTATAATATATTTATCTTGTTAAATAATTATGGCTTTTTAAAGATACTAATAACTAGTAGCTATAACTTGTTAATGTCAGTTAAATTAAAGCAAATCAGTATAATAACTCTTGTTTTATTCTAAAAAAAAAGTTAATTTTTTTTCTATATTTTTTAGGTTTTTTTTAAAAGGTTTCTTATTTTCTTTTTCTTTTTCTTTTTTTTTTCTTTTTATTTTTATTTTTTTTTTTCTTATTTTCTTTTTTTTTTCAAAATTTTTTTTTTTCTTTTTTTTTCTTTTTACCAAGATATCTTCTTTTTTCTAGTAATCTTTTTTTTATTAAAAAGTGTTTGATTAGAGAGTAATCAGTAAAATAGACCCATTTTATCAGCATTGTATATATGTTTAGGATTATATTAAGATAGAAGTTCTTGTAATTTAATTTGTTTGGCAAGTAAACTTGCTAAGGGTGCACTTGTAGCTTTGCTATGTATTACAATTTTTTTTAAACCATTGCATTTCTTAAATCTAGTTATCTACCTGTTTGAAAATACAAGTAATTTTTTAGATATAGCAAATGCTTGTGTGAATTGGCAGCTTTTTTTTTTATTAATAACTTTGATATAATTATTTCTTCTACTATAATCTGCTCTATCTACATGTTCATAGTGAGTTTTAACCTAGAGTACTTTACTAAATAGTGATGAAAAATATTATTAGCTTGTACAGTCAAACCTCTCTATAGTCACCTCCTATATAAGCACATTTTCTTTATAAGCTTGTTTTTTAAAAAACTATCTATTGTTAAATATAATAAATTTGACCTCTATAATTAGCACACTTCTCTATAATCACGCTTTTTTGTATCCCGTGGGTGTGACTATAGAGAGGTTTGACTGTATATGGAGAAACGCTCAAACCTTTATCAGATTCTCATAGTCTATTAGAGTTTTCTAATAAAGTTAAATTCCTATTGTTCATTTCAATTAACTTTAAAACTTTTTATATGTTTTATAAGTTCAAAATCTTGCGAAATAAAAAAATATATGGATTAACTCGTGATACATACTTTCACCAATAAATACTTGACGAATTTACTAGATATAAAATTGAATGAATTCCTTTTGATAGATTTTGATAATATTGAAATAATTGGTAAAGAGTAAATGTTTTTGTTGAACATTAAAAAAAAAAAAAAAAAAAGGAAAAAAAAATAGTGAATATACAAAACAAGGCATACAGTCATATATAATTGTACTCAAGGCATTGCTTAGTTTCATGCGATTTTAAAGGAGGTAACTTGATAAATTTTTATTATTACTGTTTTTTCTTTAAGATGTTTAAATTTTATATACAACGTGAATTTTACGGGCTAACTCGAAACACAATTAATAATGTATGTATAACTGTACTTCAATATGCGAACAAAGGAAATCTTCATAAATTTTTAAATTTGAATTTCCAAATATTCGTCTGATGAAACAATTAACGTATCAATTTGGCCAATGAAATATCAATGAAATATCAGATATAGATTGATCCTCCATCAACGGGCCTCTTCGTAATGACCTCTGGAGATTGCTAAATCTTAAAAAAATTTCAAAATTATTGTCATTTCATTAAAGTTTTATCGGTACGTATGAAAACATAGTAATTTTAATTTTAATAATTTATAACTAAGTTGATTGTACAAAAATTAACAAGCTCAAAGTTAATTTTAGTTTTACATTACATGGAATCACCAGGTGGCTAAGACCTTTGTCGGGTAATATCAGACAAGTGTGTCAAAAAAAGGAAAGACGAAAATGAATTAATAAATAAAAGTCATATATAATCATTTGTCATAATTTTATCATTCATCAATCAGAAATTTAGTTGACGAAAGGTTTCATCATTCGTCAGGTATCATTAAATGAGTCAAGTAGAAATGCGAATCGGCCCATCGACTCAATTGATTAATCGTCTTTATTATAATTAATATACAAGCCAGTTGAGATTTTGCATTCTAAGGTCAAGCTTGGATTAAGTTTGATATTTGATTTATTCACTGTATTTTTTTCATCGCATTAAAGATTTTCATGAAAAGATCTCAATAATAACTGAATGATTATTCATTCAAAATATACCGATACTATGTCAAGGGAATAATTTATAATAATGAACAAAATTACTAAATTTAAATACATATTTTATTTAAAAATATTTAAGAACCGCCAGCGCAGGTGACGGGTACACACTGGTATTATTTTAGAAATATAGCGTGACTGCTTTCCATAAAAAAATTGTGTAGTTACTGTAATTCGTGTCGGCATCGCTTCATCTCAACAATCGTGACTATTGTAAATTTATTGCTGATTTCCGAGTTTTTATTTGTAATGTTTATGGAAACAGTCTAGGAACTCTGACACGATAATTTATAGCTACCATATGGTACACAGTATTACCGATTAGAATAATCTTACTCCAAAAAAGTTCTTTTTTTTTTTGCGGTAAGCAAAATTATTATTTTAATATATACTAATGTAAACAAAATACCTTGTGATTGACTAGAACCAAGTACGTATGAAAATCCGGTAAAAATTATTTTGTGCGAATATTCTTTGGAAAAATAATCCAAGTACTAAAGGCAGCAATGTTTTCACGGAACAAATTTTATTATGCATTATCGTTATATTAAAACTGCTAATTAATTGGTGTATGATTTAACTCGAGAAAAAAGAATTTTTTTTTAAACCATTAACATAATAGACGTTCAAACAATAAAGCGTTTTATAACAAATCAAATATTTAAAATTTAACAATTAAAATATTTTTTTTTAGACAAGCCGATACTTGAACGAACAAGCAAAAAAGACTTCGGGATATAAAACGTAATATAGGGCATATACTGTAGCATGAATACTGTAACGGTTTATTTTAAGAGAAAAACTCAATTTATTATTTGACAGAAATTATTTACGAAAATACACGTAAATATATGAAAAGATATGAAAAAGATCAATGCATCAAAATGAAAATATAAAAAGATCAAATCGTAAAAAAATGAAAAATGACAATGCATCAAAATGAAAATGTAAAAAGATCAATGCATCAAAATGAAAATATAAAAAGATCAAATCATCATAATACGGTAAAATGAAAAAAAAGAATGAAATGCAAAGATATAAAATAAATGAGACTATTGTATGAAACTGTTGTATGAAGCTGTTACATGATATGAAAATTTATGAGATAACTATGCTATGAAAATTGATTTCGTATGAAGCTGTTACATGATATGAAAATTTATGAGATAACTATGCTATGAAAATTGATTTCGTATTAATATTTAACCTTTCTATACGACTATTCGAAGGAATTAATGCCTGCGCCTAGCTAAAGCACTACGTTTATGATTAGGTTTAGCTAAAGCACTACGTTTATGATTAGGTTTAGCTAAAGCACTACGCTTATGATTAGGTTTAGCTAAAGCGTTACGTTTGCTGTAATAATCACCACCGTAATAATAACCGTCGTAATAATCACCATCACCACCGTAATAATAACCGTCGTAATAATCACCATCACCACCGTCGTAATAATCATCATCACCACTGTCGTAATAATCACCATCATCACCGTAACCGTATTCGTAAGAGTCATCCTCGCCTTTACCTTTACCCCCGCGTTTATTAAGTAAGGCATTACGCTTGGATTTGTAGTATTCGTCATCATTATCTCCATATCCGTAGTATTCGTCATCATTATCTCCATATCCGTAATATTCATAATA